AAGCTTCCTGCGAAGCTCTGCTCTAGGTGTACTATCTTGCGACGGTCCACCTACTCGCTGCGCTAAGGCCTTTCGTACCTATTGCAGCACCAACTCCGTGTTACTAGCTTATGCTAATAGCACGTTCTGAAGCTTAGTCAGAAGACAGTCCGCCTAAGGCTTGTGTCTAATTGGGATCGAATACAAAATGTAAGGGGCTGCGCTCTGGGGAGCAATCGCGAGGTATACAAGAGGTTGTATTCGATGAGGAGCTAAGCTCCCAAGCTACGTAGCTGTCTATATACAAGCTGGTTACCCGAGTAACAATCGGACCGGTGAAGTCTAGGTGCACGAGGCAGCTTCTGGGTCCTGCGGCTGTCGTCTGAACGTCGTTCGGGCGGTGCGCAGAGAATCCGGGTGCTCGAGACAGCACCCGGGTTCTGCGAGTAGGCCGAGATTCCATCGAGGAGCTATCCAAAGGGCGTTCAGCCCGTTACAGGTATCAGCAAGTCATGGCCACCCTGCCACCTTTTGATCTCTCGTAGTGCGACAGCTGCCATCTATTAGTTTATAACCGTGATAAAAGTCTGGGATAACTTACTGCCAGGCTTCCATCGGCGCTTTTTGGGGGCGGGATTTGCTGGGGCTTTGCGGGCGGACTTTGCAGCTAGGTTTTTCTTGGCTTGAGTACCTCCAGTGGACTTGCGGGCGGTCTGCTTGGTACGTGCCATATTATAGAGTTAAAAAAATCGTATCAAGTACGTAGGTGGTGTAGTAGTGGGTTGGTGTAGTAGATTGGGTTAATAGAGTATTAGGTGGATGAGTCACGTGTTTGAAAAAGGTCCAAGCTCCAGGCTGCAGGTGAGAAAAAAATCAGGGTCCAGCGATACCTAGATACTCGAGATGTTGATTTTCAACTCAATCTGTGATAATCAACCGTGATAACCCAGCACTAGATAGAACTCGACGCGCTGATTCGAACGGTACTAACCATTTGTAGATGCACTCGGTAGATCGTATCAATATCTCAATGTGGAGTGCCCGCGCTAGCTTTGGCGCTAGCGGCTTGGCGGGCGTCAGAGTCCAGAGCACCGCACAGAGGTGATATAGATTTTGTCCCTGTTCTAACTCAGCCACGCCGTGATAAATCTCTATGATAATCCACTACTAGAAAGAGCTTTATTAGCGCTTTCGAATGATACTAAGCTCTAAGTTTTTAGACTTTTTTTAAGTTCAATAATAGAAAAAACAGCTCTGACGCTAGCTCGGCGTTAGCTACGGCGCTAGCGCTCACGAGCCGCCACAAAGGTCTTCTAAAAATACTGTTCTACCATTTCCTCCACTAATCCAAAACCCCACTTTCTAGAAATAGTTAGATAGCTTTTTCAACAGTTCTCACGTACCTTTATCACAGCTAGCCATGCAGGAGGTTAAGCCAGAGCCTATGGACGAGGATATCCCAGAGAGTATCCCAGAGGGATTAGCTGAACCCCGCTCTGTCGAAATACCAGCAGGCTTCACGCCAGAGGAGTGGGAGACAATTACTGAGGTACTTATCACATTCTATTATAACGGCAGCTGCTAACTCGTACAGGGATTTGACTGCGAGCAAGATGAGATCAACAACATTATTGCCGAACGTGGCTCTAGTGGCTCCCAAAAAGGGCGCCCTACTGGTCTCACCGTCCCATTCAAGGGCCAGCTAAGCAGTAGTTCACGCGCTATTGCCCAGAGAGATCGTGCTGCTCTAAGGACTCAAGAGGAGAAAGCTCTTGAAAAAGCTAAGGATTCTGACCGTAGCGCAAAACACCACCTACACAAGAAGGTGAAGGCATCCAAGGACTACAATGAGCTGCCAGAGATCGCCAAAGCTCAGTTTCTGGTCGATAAGGAAGAGCGCCTTCTTGAACAGCGGTTCAGTGAGAAGCGTAGTGGTTAGTTATAACAGATATTTATTACGGGCATATACTTACGATAATTAGCTGAGTGGCTAGAGCAAGCCTTTCGGATGGCCCATAAGAAATGGTCCAAGATCCAAAACGAGATTGACAAAAGGCGACATAAGAAAACCCTTCACCGCGTTCAAGAGGCTAGTAAGAGCTCTTCATCTCAGCCACGCCAGTCTCGTTCTACTACTCGCCTATTTGCCTCTGGTGGTGCTCTGGAGAAGCTCCTTCGCGATGAATACCAGAATGGGTTACATAAGCTCGAAAATAACTCATTTGAAAGTAAACAAGAGAAGGATGAGTGGCAGGCTTTTGTTGAAGCACTTTCTCCAGATGAGTTAGCTCTAGTCACTGATTCCCAATGGGAGTAAGTTATCACGTATACTTATCACGTTCAATTACTAATAGCGCTAGGAAACGCGAGCCTACACCTATCCATGATCAGTTCGACCCAGACATTGAGCTAGCCGATAATAAGCCTTACATTGAAGGTTATGGCAGCGATGAGTGTGAGGAGGAAGTAGACGATGAAGACGAGGAGGATTTTAATGGTACTAGTGACTACCTTACAGATGAGCAATGGGAGGATTTGAAAGCTCAGGGAGCTGAGCAAGATGAAGAAGATGACAGGTTTCAAGATCAGGAGGAGTCTGAGTTTGAGGGGTTTTCTGACGACGATGAGGCATAAGCTGCGGCGCTATTAGCTAATAGGGGGATCAGCAGCATGGAAGTTTCTTATCACAGCCAATTATCACGCTGTAGGCCTGTTTAGCTTGTTTTCTTTTCGTTTCAGTATGCCAATTTAATCTAATTGTAACTAAACTTAATTTCCTTTTATCCAATGAATAGATCTAAAGTATACAAGGGTATCTTTTCTCTCCCCGTTCTCTCTATCAATCGTAGATGTTCAAAGTTACTAGACGGCGACTTAGAGAAAATAATATTCAGTATGTAGACTTCATGACTCCAATACTATCAGCCTGCAGTACTTATCACGGATCTTTATCACAATTAAGTCTTTCTATCTCTATAACAATGGCTGAACAACTACTTCTAGTTCCTGAGGTCCTCCAGTCGTTTCAAACTACTGCTCCACGAATACTTAAAGGTGGTAGCCGGACAATAGTTACACTTCTAAAGTATCCAGTATTTATAGAGGAGCTGAGTAACCGAGAGAAAGAGATATTATCAGCTTGGGATAGCTGGTGGAGAGAAACAGCTTGGGCAAAGTCTTCCCAAATAGAAAAGCCACGGTGGAGATCTTCTTGCCGTACAGGCCAAATTTGGAACAGTTTTGGCGGGGGGCAGTTATACCCAGCGGAGACCCAGTTGTCTTCTGCCTTAACTGTGGTCGAGTCCTCCAGTATCCAACACTAGGCAATATTGGCACTACCCATCTCCATAACCATCTCCAAACCCAGGCCTGTAAATCTACACTTTCTCCAGTTCACGAACGGGACTCCTCTACACTAATTATACCACCCCGACGTCGACCTCTAGCTATGAATAGCTTACTCCAGCCGTACTCTATCCAGTTATTCGAGGAGGAACTTGTGCGCGTAGTAATCGATAATAACTGGTCATTTCGCGCAATTGAGCGGCCATCATTTCAACGTTTTATCCACTTTCTCCGGCCTGATGCTGTGATAACTAGCCGTTATAAATTCGGGAAAATGTTCCAAGAGCAGTATCACAGGGCTATGGCGGATCTATTATCAGACTTCGGCGAGGACACCAAGTTATCAATTGCTCTAGATGCTTGGTCAGCAGACAACCACCTTTCTTTCCTTGCTATTAAGGGATACTATATCAATATCCGATGGCAGCTTAGAGAAAAACTTCTCGATTTTATCCCTATCCGCGGTAGCCACACTGGGCGATCAATGGCAAAAGAACTATTAAGAGTCCTTTCTGAGACTGATACCACCAAAAGATTACTATGTATTACCTGTGATAACGCAAGTAATAATAGTACTCTCACCCATTCAATTGAAACAGAGCTACGCCAGAAAGGGATTAAATGGAGACAGAGTGAAAACTCAATCCCTTGTCTAGCCCATATTATCAACCTCGTTGTCCAGGATATTATCCAGCACCTCAAACTATCAAGCCCAGATAACGATAATAATGAGGGTGTATTGCGAAGACACCATATCCAGGATATTACTCAGCAGACCTCCGTGCCAAACTCACTTCGAAAGGTATCTTTTATTTATCACGGGTTTTTATTACATACTTACTCTAGAACAGCTACGAGCAATCTGTATTGCTATTGATTCATCCCCACAGCGTTTTGAGCGATTTCTTACTACTCAACAACACTTACCGCCAAAGGAACGTCTATCAGTAATTCGAGACGTTAAAACTAGATGGAACTCTACTTTTGATATGTGTGAACGTGCGATTAAGCTCCAATCATATATTAATGATTGGCTGAAACAGGAAATCGCCCTTCGAGCACCGGTTTACCCAGAGAGTATCCCAAACGACTCAGAAGTAGTATTTCGAGATTTTAAAAAACTCCAACTTGGTTCAGCTGAGTGGCATCATCTCGAAATGCTGACCCAGATATTGCGTCATTTCAAAACTGCCACTAACTACCTAAGTGAAAGAAAACCACAGATCCAACATATCTGGTTGATGTATAATAGACTTTTTGATTTTTTAGATCAGATGACTAATAACCTTGGCGACGATATAGAAAATCAAGAGGATATTGATTGGCCAGCAATTGTAAGGGATGCGGCAGAGAAAGGTCGGGCGAAGCTCAGTAAATACTACTCGAAGACTGATCATGAGCGAGGGTATATCTTCAACTGCGCAAGTATCCTTGATCCGACACAGAAGCTTACCGTCTATGAGGTACTTTTATCACAGTTACTTATCACAGTAAGATACTAATGAGCTAACTAGGACGACACATGGGATTGGGACGACAAGCATATCTATCGAGAACAGTTTCTTGACTACCTTAGCCGCTACGATAACCAGGACCGCCGACTATCAAATACAGGCTCCTTTAGCCGGAGGTCGCATGGCTCTGAGTGGTTCCGCAAACCCCCTACACTCCAATCGCAATCTAGTAGCTTATCCAGCTCTAACCAAAGCTCTCTCACCCAAGAGCTCAATGAAGAGAAAGGGCCTACCTATCAAGAGGGTGAGCTATACTTGAGTGCCCCATGCGTTCGAGAGGATGAAGGTTTTAACCTTCTAGATTGGTGGAGGGTTAACTCATCAACTTACCCTCACCTTGCCAAGGTTGCTAAGGATATTCTTGCTGTACCGATCGCCCAGGTTGGTGTTGAGCGAGTTTTCAATATTGCCAAGGATACGATTGGGGACCGGAGGCATCGTCTTAGCGCTCAAACAATCCAGCAAATAATGGTGTTGAAGCACGCTATTACCGAGGAGCTAGATCAGTCTACTCAAACTACTGATCTAGATGAGCTACCACTAGATGAGGTTTCGGATCTTTTCACTCTTCCAGCTGATATAGAGGAGGTACAGAGTCAGGATATTGAGGTTCTAGGTGATATCACGGATGATTACTCGGGAGATATAGACATAACTCCACCAGCTCGGAAGCGTCTTCGTTCATCACGTAACCGTGATAAATAAATATGATAAAACCTTTCACTTCTTCTTATGTATATAAAAGCCAATTGTATTAACTAATGTAGATTTCTAAGTTATATACCCGGTTGGGTACCCTGAACCAAACCCCTACCCGAGGTCTGTGCGGCCCAAGTACAACCCCTACCCGAGGGCTTGGCAACCCGACCTAACCATAACCCAAACTGATCTGACCCGACCCTAACCCAACTCAAGGTCCGTGCGACCCAACCTTAACCCCTACCCGAAGTCTTGGCAACCCGACCTAACCTCTACCCGAGGTCTGTGCGACCATAACCTAACCACTACCAAACACTATGGTTGGGGGTACCCGTTTGCCAGCCTACGCTAGTAGGAAGGTTTCTTTACTAATATAGTAGATATAATTACGTACTAAGACTAAGATAGTATTACTATACGCGCGCTTTAATGGCGAGAAGTAGCCTATATTAAGAGGCTATAAGAGATAAGACGAATAGAGAGGTATATATGTTAGAGATCTAAGCTACTTAGCTAATCTCTGACAATATCTGAATGCGCGACTCTACACCCTAATCCATATTAATAATTAATCCCTAACCTAATCTATCTATCTATTACGTCTCTAATTACGCAATCTATTACTAGATAGATTCTTCTAGAATTAATCATCGTTAATATAAATAGTAGTAGAATAGCTAAGTAGATAGAAGGTAGAGCGCAGTCATACAACGATTCAAGATTAATTTACTCCTCTTAATTATTCCTCTTAATTATTCCTCTTTATTATCGCTATTACCTTCGAGCTACCTCTGAGTTTATCGCTAGACAAGTAGACTAATCTACCTCTGAGCTATCGATAGAACAAGTAGCAACTTCCACACATTCTTATTTCTACAATTAGATTGCTACTTAAGTAGCTAGATAAGTCTATAGCCAAGCTAGCAGCAAGCTAAAAGAAAGCAAAGACTAAAGCTACTAGTAAAGTAATAGGCAAAACAAAGACTAACTATAAGGAAATAAGCCTAAAGCTAGCGCAAGGGATAGCCGAGTAAGCGCAGAAGATAGCCGATAGGGCTGCCTGGGCTTGGGTGTTACGATCCTAAGGAACACCCTATAAAGAATACCTCGAGGTAATCTAAAGCGATCACACCCGCCACGACCGTCAGCATTTTGAAGGATCCAGCCTAAAACACTGTGCCGCAATCCTTCGACCGTGCCGTATATCACGTGACCGCTTATTGGTGAGCAGACGCTTAGTATTGAGCAAGCTCCACAGTGATTAGTATTGAGCAAGCCACACTCCTTAGTATATAGCGATAGGCATCGAACCCTTATGGCTCGATGTGTTCAACTTAAGTTACGAGTATAAGTACAATATACGAGTTACTTGCAGAGACACTGTTTATATCACCTTGTTGCTTCATCCGCGAAAACCAACCTTAGAGTCTTGACACTAGAAGTCTTATATTACTTCTACTCAAGATCCACTCTTAACATTGGGTCCTTATAAAAAATAAGTTAGAATAATAAAGTAATAATTTTATTAAGTAATAACTTATAAGAGAGTATAATATAATAAGTTAACTATAATAAGTATAATAATAAAATCTATCTTACTATAAAATCAATTATCTTTACTATTAGTTAAAATCTCTATAACTCTTTTCTATTTAAATTACTTAGCAATTACATAGCTTACTACAAATCTACTAACTCGCCCTAACCTAGATCGAGTCTTAGAGAAGTATAGCCCAACCCCGTGTAAAAATTAAGACAAATCCTTAAGGATTGCCCTATAGTTCTATAGAGCCTCTTGTACTAGGCGGCACTGGCCTAAGGGGTGTCTAGTAGAAGCCTAATGTAACGGGCTGGTGCCCTTTGGTCTTACTCCTCGATGGGATCTCGGATCGTCTCTCAGATTCCGGGTGCTGTAGAGCACCCGGATTCTGCTCACACTGTCCAAACGACGCTCAGACGTCGGACCTGATCGGCCCGATCGTTGCTCAGGCAACTAGCACTGTATATAGACAGCTATGTAGTTTAGGAGCTTAGCTCCTCATCGAATTCAATCCCTTGTATACCAAAGCGATTGCTCTACGGAGCGCAGCCTCTTACAACTATAGCTAATTAGAAAGTTTCGTTACTATTCTTTACTTTACTAGGTTTCTATTTAATTCTATTACGCGTTGGGACCCTTACGGAGCTTTACTAGAGCTTTAATGGGTTAGTAAGAGAGCAGTATTTAAATATAAGTACTTCGTTTTTGCTAGATATTTTAAGTTTCTTCTTATTACTTTAGCGCACTCTCAATCCTTAGTATCGCTCTAGCCGCCTGTTTTATTATGTGCGTTACCCGTTTCCGCATCCCTAGAACCGTCTCCTAGTAGCCGATTGCCACCCATGTTTACAATCTACTGTCTTATCTACAGCCACAGCCTCCCCTAGTGCGGGCCGCTTGTGGCCACTGCTTATTCTTACTAAATACCAAGAGTAAGGGCGAGGTGTCCAATAGTACTATCGAGGGCCTTATTAGGGTTTTTATTTAAGGCGAGTTCTATATTTAGTCTACTAATTTTGGGTCTCACAAGTCTTACTAGAGTGGTTATAAATGCAAGGGGCTATGCTCCGTAGAGCAAAAGCTTGGGTATATAAAGGATTCTGTTCGATAGAGAGCTAAGATTCTAAGCTGTATAGATATCTATATACACTACTAGTTGTCTAAGTAACGATTAGGCCGATCAGGTCTGGCGTCTAAGCGTCGTTCGGACGATATAGGTAGAATCTGAGTGCTGCTTAAGGCACCTGGATTCTGTAAGACGACACGAGATCCCATCGAGGAGTAAGACCAAAGGGCACCAGCCCGTTACAGTTTTGCCCATTACAATACTACACAGCCGTGTGTTGTATGCTGTAGGTGTACGGAGTAGCATAGCCGTGATGGCTGGTGTCGCCGAAATTCGAAAGAGGCCTAGCGTGCCCGCGAAATTCGAATTGGGCTTAGTGGTGTCCGCGAAATTCAAAAGTAGTATAGCGCCTTTTTAGTAGCTAAAACTACCTACCTTTAGCACGCAATAACACAATAGCGACCTAAGATTCTGCTTTTCTAATTGCTAAGGATATAACTATGGCCTTAGGAGTATATACAATCCTCTTTTTATCACTTTATTTAAGCGTTAAGCGGTGGTGTTGTAGTAAGGGTTTTGCTTATAGTATAGCGCCTTTTTAGCAGCCAAAACCACCCACCTTTAGCACGCAATAACACAACAGCGACGTAAGATTATGCTTTTCTAATCGCTGGACGTGGCGTAAGGGTATGGGAAGTATACATCTTCTTCCTTCTACTACTTTATTCAAGCGTGGAGTGGTGGTGTTGTAGTGAAGGTTTTGCTTCTAGTATACCTGAGTAACTATTCAACTGATTTTAATGACCAGTTATAGCTAGTTACGTTTTCGGCAATGGTCAAGCTGTATCTGGCCATTGATCTACTATCTGTCCTGTGTTTTCTAGAATCGCCTCTAGATTATGTTGGATGCTACGCCTAACATTATAAGAGAAGCCTTTTGCTGTGTAATCATTACCATAATCTTGAATGTCACTCCATAATTCCGCAGGACCTGGGGGTCTGTATTGTTCAAAGAAACCAGGCTGTGGACAAACACAAACGTGAGGGGTCCGGCCTTCCGTTCCATCACAAAATGACCTCAGCGTGTTATCAACGGGTAAGGTCAAATCTTTGAGGCCAACCTGATACAAAACCCGACGGGCACCAGCCAGCGACACAGCATATGCAGTGGTACCCAAGCCGTTATACGCGTGATGCGTTACTCTTGTATGGTGCGGATAGTTTTGTATAATATCCCTGTATGGGCCCATCACACTTTTGAGGTAATGTCTTTCTAGAACTGTGTGATCCACTTGAACAATGCGGCCTTTTGGCTTGTTCATTGTTTCCGGGATGAAGTTCATCTCCGAGTGGCCGACCCAAAGAAGGTCCCATCCATCGCCGTATGGAGAACCCTCGTGGTATTCTGTCCAAGTCAAATCTTCAAAATTGACTTCTGAGTCACTGGTGTGGAACCTATCGCTGCATTTTGAGTTTTGTCGGTCTAGCTGGTGACTCAAACACAAAAGCGACCGAGATGCAATAGAGAAGTTGTATAATTGGTCCCTCAATCGAGTGTCCCAATCTGCATCATCCTCCAAGATCAATGCGGTGGCAATATTGTTTCTAACAATTCTATTCGGCTCAGCCATGATTGCTAAGCGAATGTGGAAACAGGATTGCTTACTCTTGCATGACATTCATATACGCTCGCCAACAGCCAATAACAGGGTCTCTCAAACGAGGGTGATCTGACGTCGTAGGAATTGCTTTGTCTGGGACTTTGGACCCATCTACTCCATCGAAAAATTCGAAGTCGAATCCTTCAATTGATGCGGCGATAGTAAGCGCGTCTCGGCGGTCGGTTCTATCTGGTCGACTAATGACGAATATTCTCTCAAACTGTAGTCTTTAGAAAAACTTCCAAATGGTGAGCTGCAAATAAACCAGGGGATTACTGACTCCTAGTGTTCGGTTGTAGACCGATCGATCGACATCGGGCTTATATAGAGGATCTCGAATCAAATTTTCATCGTCAGGAATAGCCCATGACAACACAAGTGTCAGAGAAAACAGACCAAACACGGCAACGAAAAGCCTAGAAGCTCTCGCTGATAATCTTACAGAGTTCATTGAATTAGGGTGTTTGAGACGGTACTGGGAGAGAACGTGGTATTGAGAAGCAAAATGTAGCTACTAGCTTGAACTCTGCAGGCAATTTTATACTCGTACGTTGATAGTAAAATCTCAAATCATGTAGCTTATTGATGTGTTCAGAGACTTATGTATATGGGCGGCATGATCATATCACCAATCATATCAAAGACAACGAATTAGATCTTCAGGAGTACGCTCGGATGTTGTCTGATTCTAGTGGTATTAGCCATAGAAGCAGCTAATGGCTCAAAACTAACTCGTCCCGTCGCCGCCCTCAAGCTAGCTATCGGATGCTGCACCATTCGGCTGTATAGGTATCCGAATAGTTCAACGCCTTTGAAGATTAACTAGTCTAGGATGCTTGTCTCCGCAGTAGATCCACGTCTAAGATACGCTGCGACCAAGTATCTGGTAAACTTTAACGGGCGCTAGGGTATGTGAACCTTATACTTCTAGTCTGGGATTCTTATCTCCGCAGTAGATCCGCATCTGTAACGGGCTGAACCCTGTACGAGGAGCATTTCTCTGTGGCTTATGTACAAGGAGTGTGCCAAGATTCTCCCTCGGGCATGCACCACCGAGGAGGTCATGTGATACGTACCCCCGCGTTACATATGGCTAGGTCGACTGGTCGTTGATGCTTCTTTGACTTAACTGCCGTGCCTCCTTCCTTCAGATTCGTAACAGCCGATTCGCGCTAATCTATAATGAGCCAGAATCAGTGTCTGATCCGTGTTGCATACGCGCATTTTTGGATCAGGGCATGTAATTACTCGATTGAGATGGATTGGGGCCAAATCCACGTAGCATCATATACTAGGAACGTGGTAGCCAAATACAGACTGAAATCCTAACGCTAAACCTATTTCATTGTAATTTGGGGGCCGAATCGCGCATTTAAGCCTTATTCCCCCACCTCATATTAATTACGCCTCATTCGTGGCAGTGGCGACACAATTGTGTTCCGCAGCAACCGCAGCAGCTAGCAACCATCCAGTAGGAGGGGCGGAGCTTCAGTAGTTATCCCTTTGTCGTGTCATATGAGGTTGCACCACCTTAAAATAGATAGGTGAGGGGAGCGCTGTTCTTCAGCTTTCGCTCACAGCATTTCTCGACCCTGTTCCCAACCGCTTGGCGGCGTCATATCGCCTCTACGTGCCTGCCTACTTAGGACTAACTTGTTTCATCAAAGACTAAGGCATCCTACAAGCGAGCCCTGTGTAACAGGGTAATTTCCGGTTTCTATGACCCCTTTAACCTATGCGATTTCATGAACATACTTTATGCACTGGCTTGTAGTAAATTGTTCCGTGATTTTTTTCCTCTGTGTACCAGATCGAGCTCACGATATCGCTCCTAGTGAAACTAATGCATAGTCAAAGGTAAGCTAATGAACGTACACTATTCGTCGATATCTGAGCTCACAAACCTAGACACGATGACCCAGGGACTAACCTGGTTGAAGACGACGTTCGATCTGTTGTAAGCGACAACACTGAACAACCACAAAGCTCGTGGAGTCAGGACTTCCTTCGATATTGGAAGCTGCAATTTCTTGCCCCAATTAAGTCATGGAGATTTCCTGTTGAACGTCGCAAGACCGCGATGTACCAGAATCATTGGTTGGCGACTGGCCATGCTTTACTACACTTGGTTCCCTTGAGCAGCGCAGTTGCGGTCTTGATACTTAACTGGAGTCAATATTTCGTAGGGCCTTCTTTCACGCTCTCTACTACGCTACAATTCGTCGCCAAATTACAAGAGCTTCTGATGCAGGCCTCCCTTGCTGAGATTGTCTTAAGCATCGTTCGCTCACAAATTATGGAAGGATATCTGCCCTTAGGTGCCCTTTCAGCATCTACACAGGCGATGCAAATATCCTACCTCTGGTCGCTCGATCTACTAGGTGCAGTGACCTCTCGGTCCTTCTACGGGCGGCGAAAAGCGCTGTTTGTTTGTCTGGTTCCTTTGTTAATCATTTTGACAGCCCTCGTTGGGCCGTCGAGCGCTGTTTTGATGATTCCACGGGCAGGAATGTCAAGTGCGCCATATGTTGTACATTGGCGATCCAGGAGCGATGAAGACGCCATGTTCCCTTCTCGACTAGACAACAAGCAAAACTTGACATTGTAAGCGAAACGAAGCTCAATGCATTATGACTAGGTTTGACGGAGTGTAGTAACCTCGATCGTTTTTCCACAACTTACGCATTCACGGGAGAATCTCAGGCAGAGTATACCAGCACTCAAACTTATTACAATGGAAACGATACGACGGTACATTTGACCTCACGGGCTTTGCGTTATATCATGACGGAAAAGGAGGTTTCAAGCGGCCAAGGTAATTTCGTAGTACGCTCTGCAAACGCCACCATTCCAACCTTGCTTAGTGCACAAGCCTTATATCAGATTCCCATGAAGAAAGGTGGCAGTACTTGGATTCCTGGAATTGACGTCAAGAGATCGATCAAATTACCACGTGTTATAGTCACAGCGCACTGTTTGAATGCATATAGCACTTGGCAAACAACATTGGACACGCCAGTCGCCTACTCTCTGGACGACGGTGCTTCTATCGGCACCATTCCGAATCTGAGAAATCTAATTCAGCATTTTCTCGACTATGGTGGCTCTCGAGACACACAAGTCAACGCTATACCACCACTCTGGGTTGCTTCGCCGGAACCCGGCTCCCCCTCAGTTGTTGGCAGCTTCATTCAGAACAATTGCGCCGGCCTAGGGCGATACGTGATTTCGGATTTACTGCTTAGCAAATTCAATCAATCTATACCGTCGTCAGATCTTTGTTTATATATAAAGACTTGTACAATAGCCGCTTTCTGGGAGCCATCTCAACACCACCTTGCGGCAGACGGCGGTTCATGGGTGGTCAGCACAGGCTCGCTTTCGAACATGGGTCATGGCTTATCTAAAACTACACGCCCAATTTCGGCCGACCTCGACAGTATCACTAGCTTGAACACCCCGTTATTTAGCGCCAAGATGTTCGAAGACGTTCAAAGCGACAGCACCAGACTAGCAGTCGCGCTGGCTACCGTTTTTTCCGAAATACCTTGGAAAGAGCAGGTACAAAGCGCATTAGGGGGTGAGCAGTATACAGTGATTGAGATTGCTTTAACGCGTCTTGGCTACGGATACGAAACGTCGTCTATATCTACACGCCTATCGCTAATCGTTGTCATGGCATACTGCATATTCGCTGTCGGATACATAACATACATGCTCAGCAGCGGCCATACATCTACGGCATGGAATTCGGCAACTGAGATCATCGTTCTTGCGTTGGAGTCAAAGTGCAGTGAGCATTTGTACTATGTATCAGCTGGCATTAACTCCATAAAAACGTATCAAGAGCCTGTTGGGATACGAGTCAATGATCGCAATCAGTTGGAATTGGTGTTCGAGCATGATCAAAGCAATCAGTTGCGGAAACTAAGAAAGATTAGACTAAACAAGGCATATTAATTTGCAAATGTCGTCACTAGTTAACTAACATACTTTTTCAACCCCTGGCTGGCATTATGGGCACTCGGAGAACGGATACAATGACTCGAAGATCAGCCTGGAGTGGCTTACCCGTGTATTCGATCCTCAAACAAGTGGACGAGCTAACGGAAAGCCCCGGGTCCTAATTTGCGATGGTTTTGGAACACACGAGACCCTCGAAGTCCTAGAATTCTGCTTCGCTAATAATATTACTATGTGCCACCTGCCGTCTCACACCTCACATAAACTACAGCCCTGCGATGTTGGAGTCTTCGGGCCTCTTAAGACAGCCTATCGTGACGAGGTAGAGCGGCTCTGCCGGGGAGGGCTAGAAGCTGTCAGCAAGGAGCACTTCACTTCTGTATACAAACCTGCTAGGGAAACAGCGATTACCAGGAGGAATATCATCGCCGCATGGGCCGCAAGTGGCTTGTCCCCATTCAACCCAGAGAGAGTCCTTCGAAAGATGCCAAAACCGCCCTCTGAGATAGCTGTTCTAGACGTGCTTGCTTGTACACAAGACCAACAAGTAGTGCAAGTACCTGAAACTCCTGTAACACCAGTAACGACGGAGGCTGTAATGTCTTTACATAACTTAATCAAACAGGATGCGCATGCACTAGGCGAGCAGAGCAACCAACGCCTGCAGAAGTACGTACAGAAGCTCGCGAGTGCAGCGCAGATATCCCTTGCAAAACAGACGCTTCTTCAAGATCAAAATGAGTTCTTGACGAAGGTCAACAAGGAGGCTACAGTTCGGCGATCGACCAGGTCTATTGTCTTAGGGAAGGCGAAGGTGATGAGCTTCGAGGACCTTGAGGAGGCACGAGCCAAGCGTGCTGAAAAAGAGGAGAAAGCGTCAGCTGCTAAGGTTCCTAAGAAACGGGGGCGTAAGCCTAAGAGTTCTGCTGAGGTACCGGTAGAAGAGGTGACAGAAGTAGCAGGTGCGAGTCTGCAAGGAGAAGGCGAAGCGGCTGATGCTACAGTGCAAACTAACAACATACCTGGGCTGCGTCAGCCAGAGACAAGACCGCTATGGAGAGCACCTGTTGCAAAGATATATTGATGCATTAGTACGGAATTTGAGCCTTTGCTATTAAGCCAACGAGGCGTTATCGTAATACAAGTGCACGAGAGATTGTGATTATGAGGCCAAAGCTGACTACCACGTGATCTTCGACTTGCTGACAAGATTCTAGGGCTTACACAGCCACAAGACTTTAAAGCCACAAGCTTGGCGCGGTGAAAATTACGCCGTAGACGGTCCTATACTAGCCATATGCGGAAGCTGCTCGCTGGAGAAGTACCAACAGGGGTGGCGATCAGGCATGGATATGAGCGCCACGCCGCACTAAGGGCTGGGATTGGCTCTGCAGCGTGGCCGAAGGTTTCCTCAGTGCATACAACCTCATTTCTTAGTGTAGGGGTGCAGTAGAGCGGGATAGAGGCTATCTATAGCGGTGTCACTGCTTTTCTCTTGAAAAGGTGTCTTTTGCGGATCAGCGCGGATCTAACAACAATAGCGTATTTTTTGTAAGGAGAGATGTCTATACCTATAGAAGAAGGTAAAAAATATGACCTATCTATGAAAACGGCATGACAACAACGTGTGAATGGGAATATTGTTTTCTGAAGATGAAGTACCCCTCTTTTCTTGCGGCACGGGGGGGATTTGCGTTACCCAGGGAGGGATGTTACTCTACAGTCCATCCCCGATCGTGTGTTTGCCAATTCTTGCAGATCATGAGCACGTCATCAAACCGTATGTCTTTTTGGAAGTTGAACACTTTGTTGCCATAATCAAGTATTGGTGGACCTTTTCGGCCGTTTCCCTTGACTACGCAATTCTATGCTTGATAGAGCAGGTAAGTTCCTGTCCATGTGTCCTCGGGTGGATATGATGAATTTGTGGGTTAATTGGTTAACTAACTAACTAGGTTTGAATGCGTTATTACATGTACTTAGGATTGAGGATATCTAGGGACTCGATGGTCCGTACATATAGACTAGATTTGTTAGGCAAAACAATGAAAGAGACTCGCTTTCGACGTGGAATGGAGTGAGCGGTTGCGGACCAACTCTGTCCCTAGTTGGGGCTTGCCTTCATCTAGTACTCTACAGTCCATGCCCTGTGATATTCGTATTGGCTACAATGCATAGTTTCGTCATTAAACTGCACATCCTTATGAAACTCAATCTTAGTCTTGCCACACTCAAGTACTGCAGGACCCTTTTCGCCTCTGCCCTTAACTATGCAATCATGATCACCATTCTGGTCGCTGTACTTAGGGTATACCCCCGACCAGGACGCTTCATTTGGGTATTGTGGGTCTGTAATTTCGTGATACAGAATCTTTTTACGATCTTTGGCATATCCCTCTGCGTCTGTCGTGCGAATGAACGAGAATGGTCCCGGGTTGCAGGGGTCTACTGCAACGCCTTGTGGACCAGCCCATACAGACCATACATACCGGTATGCTATTTCTTTCGGATCGTTTGGGTCTTCGTGTGGAAAGCCTTTGCCATAAAGGATTTGTATCGAGTATTTGGGTGTCTCACGCATCTACTTACGTTCTAGAACCCGATGTTATATCGAGAGATAATCAAGCAAGTACTCACCATTAACACGGGATTTGCAGCCACAAAGGCAGCCACAGTAACTAAAAGACAAACAGCACGAAATATAGCCCATTGAGCCATACTGACGTCAGTGGGGCAACTAAGTAACACTAGATTTTTATATGTGTGTGTGTGTGTGTGTGTGTATGTGTGCAGATACAACAGCCTCAAAAGTCGCGGACGAAGCGGAGCGGAATAACTGGCAAATTAGGTTAGATCAAGAGGTGAATATTGTTATTCTGTACGATTGAGGATATACTACGGTTTTCAGAGAATTCTCCTACATTCTGCAGTCATACTAAGGCGAGCAAGACAATTATATATTCTGGTTCCAAGCAAAGAATAAGCAGTAATAACGTTATGCTAGCAAGGATACTTACGATTACTGACAGCCTAATACAAGTTTTATCCTACACTCTCATGCAGTTGCAGCTCCTGGTTTCTATAAGCAGGTAATCTCTGATTCCACGCTAAGCCTCTGTCGCTTAATGGTAATCTTAGCTATATATAGTATTAGCTCCTGTCAGCAATTCCTCTTATTTCAAACTCTTATAACTAGTTACTACTTAATTAGCGCACCATATTTATGTAGGGCAACTCTTTTTGGATAAGCGTACACCAGGCGGGTCCGTGTCGTGGGATGACAATTAGGCAATGTGCCCAAAGCGGAAGCTGCAAATGCATGAGAGTGTACGATACTTTCATTATACTTGTTCTAGATAATGCTAATATCACCATATCAGGCCACTAGTGGGCATCGTGCGATATGCTGACTATGGCTCCCTAGTTAGGTATGTACACCAACGCGCCTAACCGTACACTTTCGATGCTAATGCCTATGCAACACCAAATGCCCTAATCGCGCAGCTCGAAAACGCTCTGGCTAAGTAGTTGCTAGTACATTGTAAAAAAGAAACATTCATATTGTCCATAAAAGATTGCATAGATGAATAAGGATAATGACCGTATTGTGATAGATTCGTGCTTACTTTCATGTTGATTACTATGCCAATATCTCACTTGCAACTTCACTTTCACAGACAGTGTTCCAAAAGCCCAGTCATCAGAAGACTGCAGATTGACCAATCACATCAGTCATTCAGCGACTAACATTCAGCGCTAAGCTACGTACGAAATATGGGGCTGCTAAAGTTTGCTGCGCAGCTGCGCGTAAGGGTGAAGCCGCAATCGCAAATGAAATAGCACGCTTGCCGCCAATGATTTTGAGCTCGATAGTTTCTTGCTGACACGGTGTCTAGTGGTCTGAACTGTGGTGCTATGTGTAATGTAGCGATTGATGGTACAATTGGTGGTACGGCGGCGGGCTGTGGATAGACGAATTAGTCGAATGCTGCTGTAAAACCAAGTAACTAAGTAACTAGTTAGTCATCTCTTCACTATACATCCAACTTCTAGCTTCTGAGTCTGCATATATCGTTCCTTGTGTGCCTGGTATGCGTGATCTGTTGATGACAGCTAACTGCTTGGGCGTATGTTTACGTTCAAAATGCTTACGCCCACGGACGGTAAGCAGTTTAGAAGATTCCTCTAATCGATTGTACCGCAATCCTTTTACCGCGCCGCAATCACGTCACTGATTAACAATTAGCAAACGGGCCTGTTACGGAGTTCGCAGTATTGAGCAAGCCACACTCCTTCGTATAGTCTAGAGTAATTGGGTCATGTGGCTACAAGTTATAGCATGTGAGTTTAGCGACTAATATCTTTGATTTAGGCGATTAGTACTACGTACAAGGTGGCTAGCGATGGACGCTGGTGTTGACAAGATCTAATTTGTTGCCATCTCTACACTTTAAATGGTTACAACTGTTAGGATCTGGTCCAAATTGGACCAATCCAACCCTATCCTGGCGGTCTTAGTCAGCTATGACCTAACCTGGAATATAAATACTGTACAATCACTAGAGTAGCTCCCTAGTGATTCGTCTCGTATCAATACGACTGTATGCTCATCAATCCATCTGATCTATCTCGTGCTGTACTAAATATAGCTAATAGTCTAACAACAACTATTAATAAAAAGTAAGAACGTAAAGATGGCTCTACTGTGACTGCTTGTATTTCACTGTTAGGAGTATAATAGTTTAGGAGGCTGACGCTAGAACTAAAACACGGAAATTAAGGGGGCGATTCGCGCTAGACTATAATGGGCGAGTATCAGTGTCTGATCTGCGTTGCATACGGGCGTTCTTGGATCAAGGTAGGTAATTACCTGATCGGGATGGATCGGGGTCAAATCCACCTAGCATCATATACTAGGTCCGCAGACTCGCCAAGAAATCTGGGATTAAGGTCAAAATCGACCTTAATCCTGTCGGGGATTGAAGACAGATTCTATCTTCATCCAAGGAGTTATGCACTACTCTGCTTATCTATCACCCTTCGCTGTGTAGCCCTTTTACCAAACCTAACACCATGCTGAAACCATTGATCTAGCTCATCTTGATCATCTCTCTCCTTTCTCTTTAGTGTATCTCTCGTGCCAGTGCACTTCTCTACAACGATGTCATCGGGTATAGTACTTGAACGTGTTTCTAGCTGTGGCTGACAACAACTACTAGGCATTGATGTTGTTGGACGGCTGCCAAGAAACACTCCAAACCCAAGGCAGCTATGCCATGCACGACTAATAGCGCGATACTCCGCTCGTATTGGTGCAATATGCCCTGGTGCTTCCTCTATCCCCCGAGCGTATAGCTGACCTGCCAACATAGAGCTGTGCGCAGCCTGGTGGTCTGCGACATTTAATATCTCTTCTTTGCCATCGTAGTCTCGTTTGAATCCCAATCGTCCAAGATGGCGCCGAGTAATAGCGATAGCTGAATGCCGCCATATAATGATGCTGGCACGTGTAGAGAGATGTCGCGAGAACTCTTTAGCTAGTACGTCGCTAAGGCACTTACTTGGCCAAGGCACGTCCTGCCGATGCCCAGACTTATCGATTATCGAGCGAGACCAAAGAAGGGAAGACGTCGTGCTCGTAGGTACAGAGTCCGGTGTAAGGCGTTCTAGTTGCCTAACAAAGGGCACCACAAGCCAAAGGTAATACACAAGGAGCTCGCTAACCTCAGGCGGTAGATAACGGTGGATGATCTTGGTGGATCCTGTGATGCTATAGCCTTTGTGATAGGAAGTCACAAACGTAACTAGGCCATTCTCAAGAAAGATGTTTCGCCGAATTCCGTGTTGCGAGTTTCGCCACTGAAGTGTAAGAAGTTCTGTCCCTCGAGCAGGCTGTCCGCCTGTCATATGAACCAGGAGCAGAAGCCGTTGTAGGAAGGTTTGTATCGCATCAAGATAGCTCTTCACTCGTTTCTTTTTCCACGTAGTAGAATGGGGGCCATCCAAGAACTGCTTTCTAAGCCAGCCATGGTCCCTAATACGGCGGAGGAGCCAGCGATCATGACCAGCGAGCTGATCCTCGTTACGCTTGTCTAGAAAAAAACTCCAGTCTGGGGTGTTGACAGTTGGGTCATCTTTTAGCTCTCGTAAGCGCACTGGGGGAACGGTGTCTGCCCTGCTTTCTGCGTCTCTGTCGGGCGGTAGCAGCAGCAGATCGTGGAGTTGCTTCTGAGCCAGCTCAACCTGGTCACGCATGAACCAACGGAGCGCAGTCATAGACAACTCGAAGTTCTTGTAAGACAGATGTTCACCGTCGTCCGTCCATATGATATGTCCCAAGGCAGTCGTGTTATCCCGGACTTTGCAGCCATACGAGCGGATCTTGAGTATCCAGTTCATTGGAGATCGGCTCCCATATACCATGAATCGGTCTTGCATCTCATCGATTAGGTCGGCTGGGAAGTCAATCAGTCCAGTGTTAGCAGAACGTATTCCCTTCTGTAAAACTAGAATTTGGGCCAGCTTAACGAATGCTGAAAGATCGGGTGTATACGAGACTGGGTCCCGGAAGCCGCTAGTTTTAACGTCAATGCCAAGGATAGCGAGAAAGCCAACGACAAGGCTGTCGTAGACGTTTCCTTTCAGACAATGATCTAGCAGCGAGATACATAACTCCAGGCATAGGTCCTGATGCAATTGAGACTCTCTTTCTCTACCCTCCCTTTCATGGGTGTTCTGGAGGGCAGCGAATAGCCGATCTAGCGCCGTTGACTGCGCATCGGTGACGACATAGTGGAGGAAAGAAGCCTGTCGCAGCAGCACGGCGCGGGAAACAAAACAGAGCAGCTGCATCCAGACTTTCTTGTATCGCTTGTACGTCCCTTCCTGCAGCTTGACGAGAAGTGGCCGATGGTACTGCCGACCGCGAATAAAACTGTTTACCCGATGCTGGTCGAACACGCTTGCCTCATCAGCGAGGATGGCAGTGCGAGCTTCATCAACAAGCTTGTCAAAAATATCGATAAGCGCAAGCAATTGGCGATCACTGTTTTCGATAGTTGTATGCGTTGGGAGGTGGATGAGCTGCGCGACGTCCTGCAGGCGGTGGCCGTGAAGATATTGGTGCCATCGGGTCACCTCAAGCCATGGTACGAGGCTCAGAGGATACGCCCCTAGAGGCTCTATACCGAATCCTGTTGCTGGAGCGTCTCTAGCCTCTTTTTGCTCGATAGCTGTAAGCTGTCTCTCTATTTGATCCCAACAGTCTGCTTCTCTACCCGGAGTTGTATCAAGCGTAGGTACGCTGTTCACGAGTTCAGCGCTAGGTGTGTCTAGGACTTGAAACAAGACTCGATATGTCTTCTGCGTAAAGAACGCCTGGCAGCTTACTTTGGCAAAATGCACCGTCTCGCTACCTGTCGGTCTTCCTACTCTTCTAGGTTTATGTTGGCTTCTAGGATTAATCCAGCCATGCACATTCCGGCAATGTCTGTGCATAGTGTTGAGAGCATGGTAGATACGACGACACGGCAGACCGGTTTGAGGGTCTTGCATGGGACAGAGGAAGCCAGTGCAGAGAGAAAGCTGAGGGATGCGAGGAATCGGAGTGGTTGGAATGCGCAGCGAGGTCTGCCAATCGCGATCAGTCCATAGAAGTGGACGCGTTTCGAACTGGGTTCGGAGTTCCTGTAGGAGAGCTCGGCATGTCGCACTACTTAGGTTGTGCTGTTCGTGTAGATGGGTTTGGAGATGGCAGGGTAGAACGCAAGTGCGATGCAATCGACATACAATGAGCTTATATTCAGGTAAGTAGTCAAATAAAGAGTTAAGTAGGTCAGTATAGGTAGAATCCATAGTAAAAGAACATTCACCTGCTAAGTTGGGGGGGAAGTTAGCGAAGAAGAGGGTATAGGAGAGCGAACGCGTTACGCGTACGCGTGTAGCTGCGCACGTGCATGTAAGACAAGGCAAAGAGCTTGCTAGATTAAGAAGGGTGATAACTACAGCGAATCTATCAGCAAGCCTAAAAGGAGAATGGGAGAGATAAGAGAGGGCAACAGGAAGGAGAGGGGCTTTCAGCGAGGGCAAGGGCAACCGTTGCCCTACTTCGAAACTCCCTCTCTGGCCGCCTATACCAAGAGAGTAGCATTTCAACCTAGGAAACAGGTTGAGATAAGAGAGATAAAAGGGGGTGCACAGCAAACTTTACCAAGCACCCCCAACTGGCGCCCCTAGATCATCGTCTAGTGCTCATCTACTATGGAGGTATTCTTTCACGTTCACCATAGCAATTTATTTAGAAGCGCACGTGCCTGGCGTAACCCTAACTAAGCGCAACCTGGCAGCGCAACCCTAAGTTAGCACGGGCCATGCCCACGAACACCAACTCTCTACCCTATTCTATCTAATAACTCACGCAACATAGGTCGCATCATGATAAAATGTAGTGCATAGAACGCGCACGAGCTTCCTATATCTCAAGTGAAAGTTGCATCTGTTTTGAACCTTGTTCTGACGGTACTTGCTATGGCGAGGTGGCGCGTAGAGGAGCAGGGGTAAAACGCGCTATCTGACCATTGTTCACAAGGGACCATAGTTCTGTTTGGCATAACGAGTAGTGTCACTCAGCAGGCAGTCTCTCGTATGGGAGGTGGGCGCAAGAGGCTCCCTGACGGTCCTAGCAGTGGCAACCAGCGTGGTCGTCCGGCTGCGGGTGGTGCCGAGAACCCCCTGCTCGTGGAGTAGGTGGGCCTGCCTTCGCCAGTTTCTTCTGAGTCGTCCGTTAGGTTGTCGTCCAGGTTGGGTGTGGGACAACCATGACTGTAGGGCCGTAGTGTTAGCGAGATGGGCGGCGGGCTCCCATGTGGGCTCGTCGTAGCCCACCCAATGAATAAGGTATTCTATTTGCCTGCGCCTTATTCTCTCGTCCGTGATGTCTCGTACTGTCCACTCTAAGTGTTCCTCATTGTTTTCGTTATCTTGTACGACTGTAGCAGTTGGGTTGGTGTCGTCCGTCTGCTGCGATGGGAATGGGTCGTTAGCCGCCGGACGGAGCTTGTCTACATGGTAAGTCTTTGTTTCCCATGGCACGGCTAATTCCACCCAGTAAGGGTCTCGTACGCGAGCAACCTGGAACTTGGCGCTTTTCCAATCAAGTTTCTTACTACTTCTAGCCGTACGTACATCGCGTAAGTCTAGCCATACCCAGTCTCCTACGCGGTAGGTGGGCGCTGGTCTGCGGGACTTGTTAGCTTGTCGTTCTTGTTCTTGTTGGGCGTAGGTCATGGCAGATATAGCCCAGTTAGCAGCATCACTAATCGTCCGGACAATCTCCTTTGCAGCTTCTCCTACTTCGTCGGCTTGCGTGACCGTTTGGGGC